TAATAATTAATGCAGTAATATTATTATCAAAAAAAGTCTCAAAGGACACTAGTTGGAATCTGCTGATTGTAAGGGATCAGATACCTTGTAGGGATACGTTAAATTAGATAATTCAATCCATACAATTTGAAGTTATATCTTCAGATCACCATCCTTTTTTTTTTCCAAGAGGAAAGCAGATGTCTGTTCTCATTTTGTGTTTGGTCATTCTATTGAATTAATCTATCAGACCAATGTCCTCGTGGTCTTAGTGGAAATATAATGCATGAACTCAGTTATTGTTGTTGTTTTTTTCCTTTTGAAGACGGTCACATCCAGCCCATCCCTTTACCGACATCCACTAAAATTGTATTTAAAAAAAAAAAAAAAAAAGTTAGCAGAGCGTGGTTTCGATCCACGGACCTCTGGGTTATGGGCCCAGCACGCTTCCACTGCGCCACTCTGCTTCCCGACAGATTTAGGCTATTATTATATATATTCTAATAATTATATTCACTGTGTATAAATTAATCGATTTTGATTAAATTATGAATTCGTTCTGAGGCGTGGACTCAAAAACTAATGTGACGTTTAACATTTTAGAATTGCTTCTCAATAGTTTACTCAAACAGTACAAGCTAACCGCAACCATGCCCTGCCCACATTTCCACTAGATCAAGAGTAGAGAGTAACTAAATACTCTCTGGACACAGTTGTAAAATGTAAAAATAAGATTAGTCTCGTAAATGTCTCGGACCAAATACGTAGACGCCTAATTGTTTTCTAGATCAAAAGGAAACTATCAATATGATTGGAAAAATGCAGTATCTTATCTTTTTATCCCTGTCTTCATTTCGAATATTCTTTACTTTAACTGCTCTAGTCTAGATCTAGATCTAGATTCATTTCAAATTATTCGGAATCATTACAAAATTTGTTCTGTATATTTTGGTTGTGGTATAGTGAATGTTTTGCCCCTGAGTAACAAGTATAAACATGGCGTTAAAAAATGGTTACTTTGTACCATTTTAGTTGAAATTGAAGAAACGCACGCTGCAAATCCTGTGGTACGTATTTGTTTCTTAATTGACTTATTAAAAAAGAAAGATTTTTAAATGTCTGTAATCTTTTGTCTAAATCTAGATCTAGATCTATTCTAGATCTATGTAGATCTAGTCTGTAGCATACATAATGAAAGTTCAGTTGTTCTTCTTCAAATAGCGGATCCAAGAGACTCTCTTCTGGCGATTTTGTAGTTTCGTTCGTTAAAGTCAAGCAGGGGGGTTTCAGGGGGGCAAGAAGTGGAGGTGGGGGGGTTCAGGGGGGCATGCCCCCCTGAATTTTATCCTAATTTGATGTTTTGCAGTTAGGTTGCATCCCTGTCCCTGCTCTTTATGTAGCCTGCCTAATTCAAATAGTATTTGGTCTTCAAGACTTCTGGATTTCTTCTCTGGATGTAAACAAATGGATCGTGGACTTTAACGAACGGAACTACAAGATCACCTCTCTTCTTTCTACTCTATTTATTTTACATCTAAAATCTAGATCTAGAATCTAGATCTAGATCTAGATATCTAGAATCTAGATCAAATCGGTGCTTTTTCGGTAGTTCCCACCCCCCTTATTTGAGCCTGACCTACTTCTAGGTCTAGATCTATATGTTTGATTCGTGGTGAGCTAAGATATCAAACCTAACAACAGCAAAACATTAAATTGTGGTAAAATTCAGGGGGGCATGCCCCCCTGTAACCCCCCTTCCTATTTTTGTTAGGTCAGGGGGGCAAACCTTGAAACCCCCCTACTCTTGGGGCCAAAACCCGGGAATAACAATTGCGGGGTGAGAACTACCAAAAAAGCGCCATCAAATCTAGGTCTAGATCTAGATATTCTAGATCTAGATATTCTAGATCTAGATTAGATTTAGAATCTAGACTCTACTAGATCTAGAATTTAGATATATAGATCGGAAGGACTTCCGTAACGAGCGACCACCCCATCAAACACAATAAAGAAGAGGCCTAGACCTAACCCTACCCCTACCCCTACCCCTAACCCTAACCCTACCCCTACCCCTACCCCTACCCCAAGCCCTCAATTCTGCTCTGTCTCATAGTGGTCGCTCGTTACGGAAGTCCTCCCTATAGATCTACTAGATCTATGTGTGTGTGTGTGTGACACATGCGATTAAACGTAGAAAGATGCAAACTATTTTTAGGTACGACGCCCATCTTGTTTGACGTCAGACCAGGATTCCACTCCGATCACGTGACTACATCTAAGTAAAGCCAACCGCTTGGCACCAAAGATGGAACTGTCTATGTATAACGCTTAATCTACACCACGCTCTCGGAAGTTCTGATGGCCAAATAGACAGCGCGTCTGCGTTTGAAGGCATGCAATGATTTTAGGAACGGTTCGATTCTGGTCCCGGACTATTTTTTTCTTTCTCTTTCCCTCCTCCAGACTGACCAACAGTTCCATAAATTATAATTTGTAGAGCTGCTTTGAAGTAAAAAAAAAAAAATATTAGTGATGAAGAATGCAGGGGGAGGAGGGGGAGGGGGGGGGGGTAGATCTAGATCTAATTCTCCAGCGTCTTTACGGAAATTTTCGTACACTTCCATCTTTGGTGCCATGCCATGCGGTTGGCGGTTGGCTTTACTTAGATGTAGTCACGTGATCGGAGGGGAATCCTGGTCTGACGTCAAACAAGAGGGGCGCCGTACCTAAAAATAGTTTGTGTCTTTCTATGTTTAATCGCATGTGTGTGTGTCTGTGTGTGGAAACATTCCTGAGATTTCAATTTTATTTTGGCAGGCGCTATTTGCAACGCTGCATTCTGAATAGCTCCTGTGCTATTTGAAACGCCGCGTTCTGAATAGCTCTCATGCTATTTGAAATGCCAGACTAGAATCTAGATCTAGTAGCCATCGTTTCTCATAACCATAATAATATTGTAGTTCCGCCTGAATTGCGGAAGCTTTCTCAGTTTCTTGAATAAACCTCCTAGGATTTGACCCCTTTTTTTATGACGTTGCCTTATTCCGATCTTTGGTCAGCAAGCATGGGTCAAATCTTCACACCTCCTAAGTGCTATCTTAGCCTCTCTGATAATTAGGGCATGTTAGAGAGAGAGAGAGAGAGAGAGAGAGAGAGAGAGAGAGAGAGAGAGAGAACTTGATAGACAGACAGGGAGACAGACAGACAAATGAGACTCTGCCAAGAGATGGGGGCCTCATGAGGGTCATGGAGGTCAAAAAAAAATGTTGATATGTATGTAGGGCTACTTTTTTGTTATTAAAATGTACTTGATATTTATTGTGTTAAAAACTTTTACTTAATAAAATTTAGTTGAGACAGTGTCTTTAACTTTTTAAAAAAATTGATAAAAGTATATATAGATCTATATCTGCCTGTCCTAACTAGTACAGAAAGGGAATTTTCAAAGTAACCTTGGTACTGGTATAAAATAACATAAAGAAATAATGTAAAAAAAAAATTATTTCCCCTCAATGCTCTTTCAGTCAACTTCCTGGAAGGCCCTGGAAGACCTCCAAAAAATATGAAGAATGTTTTTTAATGCATACTTATGAATGCGAGACAAAATTCAAAATTCATTTACATTGTTTAACCATATTATTTGGATGTATTGTTTTTAAGTAATTTCAAGGCAAATTTTCTGGTATGAGTCCATGGTAGGAAATCAAATTTCAATGTCCAAGTTCATTTGGGTGTGATTTTGTTTTCGATGATTTGTGCAGTTTGCATTCTTTGACATTTTCTGTCAGTCAACATGGATGAAGTTGATGCTGTTCCTCGCCCAAGAAGGCAAAGACCTAAGGATTCCTTTCAGAGTGAGCTCCAAGCAAAGCTGCATCAGAGAAAGTCCTTGGGATTGACTGCTGAGGTAACAGACAGTGATGACGATGGTCTGTCCTCATCCCGCACTAAAGGTAAGGGCAGCTGAAAATGTGATCACCGCATGTTGGAGTGGGTGGTTGGCAGGTGTTCTGATGTGGTTTGCTTTTTCTTTCCTATGAAACATCCATCGTCCTTAGCTGTCCTCCTTCTTGTCTTTGCATGTTACTCTCTAGTAACACCTTTTGCAATGACATAATGACCTATTTGTGTTGCAAGTGCCATAAAACCCTTACTAAAACTTACCTTAGGAAATTATTACAGCCTGTAATTAAGACATAGACCTTGAGTCCACTAATGAAAGTGATGCTGAAGACGTTCCTTATCCTATTGTTTTCCTGACTTGTCAGTAAATGACATAGTCTTGTTTTATGACTGTTTAGTACATTTGTCTGTAATGTACAGTTTTTTTGTTTTGTGTCTGTCATGAATTACTTTCTTATAATTTTTTAGCCGTTTTTAATTTCTGTAGCTCCAGAACCTTTTCATATGTTGTGTACCAGCTTCTGTGGTGTAGTGGTTAGGCTCTTTGCTGCTGCACACTGGAGACCTGAGTTCCATTCCCACATTTTAGAGAAAATTCTATAGATTATCTCGACCTTTCTGCTGGGATGTTGTATCCCTCTCAGCCCAGGTTGGCATTGACAGGCATGGTTGGAAGCTGGCCTCTTCTATAGTCTGAATTGTGTCAATGGGGGTGTAGAAACAACTTCATTGAACACGTAAAAAAGATATATAAAGTTTGTATACAAATTTGGTGATATTTCAAAACTTCTTCTTCACCTTCTTCAGATGTCAGGTCTGGAGTAGACTTTGACAATCATGATACCCCGCTCCTTCCTGTTGTCTGTCTTCCTGATCAGCTTGGTTTTTTTGTTTTCTTTGTTGTGTAATTTGTCAAGTTGTTCAGGCCATCTGTATATGTTGTTCTTTGTCTTCCTCTGCTTTTTTTTCCCTCCATCCTTCCACACAGCAGCAGCTTCTCTTGTCCATTTGAGCTATTTGTGTGCCTTACAATCTCAAATGTCTCTTTCCGATGGCTCTGATTGTAATAGATCTTTCACAAGCTCCTATACTTCTATACTTCTGTATTTGTTTTCCTCTCTGACCTTGAGATCAGAGAATTCTCCTTAAATACCAGTCTTCGGCGACAACACATTCGCTTTCCTGGTCCTTGGTAAAATGTTTTACATTCAATCAGACGTTGCTCCCTTGGTTTATTTCCCAGATTTTATGAAGAGGGGAGCCACACGCCCCAGTGCAGCCAAAAGGAGACCAGATCATTCTCCTGACTTGAGCCGGGGTCTGGGGACGACAACGATGCGAGCCCGTGACTTGTCCTCTCTTCTGGGACGAAGTGTCTCGGATGACGAGGACGAGGAAGTCATGGCGGCCAATCTGGGGAAAGCCAGTCCCGGGGGTACCTGGCAGCCTGGCAGTCTGAAGACGCCTTCTCCCAAGCAAGACTCATTATTTGCTCGTAAAACTCCGACGAGAGATAGTCCTAAGGAACAATCAGGCCGGCTGGAGTCTATTTATGGCAGGAAGACGCCGACGAAAGATGTGAGCCCTCGGAGTGGGGGTTTGTCGAAGGAGGATATTATCTTTGGCAGGAAGACGCCCGTGGATGGCAAGAAGAGCCCTCATGATGGGTAAGCAGTCGGTGTTGCCTGTCTTCTATAAGTTGGGAAGGGTTTTTTGGAATATTCCGTGCCGCCTGCATTTACAGTTTTGAAGGGCTTTTTTTGAATGTTCAGAGCTGCCTGTGTTTACAGTTTTGAAGGGCTTTTTTTGAATGTTCAGAGCTGCCTGTGTTTACAGTTTTGAAGGGCTTTTCTTGAATGTTCAAAGCAGACTGTTTAAAGTTTTGAAGGGCTTTTTAAAAAATGTTCAGAGCTGCCTGTGTTTACAATTTTGAAGGGCTTTTTTTTTGGAATGTTCAGAGCAGCCTGTGTTTACAGTTTTGAAGGGCTTTTCTTGAATGTTCAAAGCAGACTGTTTAAAGTTTTGAAGGGCTTTTTAAAAAATGTTCAGAGCTGCCTGTGTTTACAATTTTGAAGGGCTTTTTTTTTGGAATGTTCAGAGCAGCCTGTGTTTAAAGTTTTGAAGGGCCTTTGGGCAAATGTTCAGCACAGTTTGCCTTGAAATGTTTTGAGGACGGGTTTTTTTGGTAAGCGTTCAGCATACCTCACTTTAAAATGTTTTAGGGTTGGACTGGCATCTGGTGGAGTGGTTAGTTGTTTTGCTGTTGCACGCAGGAGACCTGAGAGCGATTCCTGAGTGGGAGAATTTTTAGTATGCATCTCGGTTTTTCTGCCGGAATGTTGTATCCTGCTCAATCTGGGCTGGCCGAACCTCTTCTCTCCCTTGATCAGGGCAGATCTGCTTATTTGAATTTACATTGAATCTTTTTTTCCCCCCCCCTTGAATTGCGGTTTGTGCGGTAGTATTCAACTTATTGTAAATGACAGGAAAATACATATATTCATTTTAGTGTACTTTCAATACACGTTTATTTCACTTCCTGTGAAACGTAACATTTTTTACATCAAATTTCTCAAAAAGGGAGAGGGAGATAGAATTTAGGTGAGCATGGGTCACAGCAAAGATTCCTCAAAAAAAAGAAGAAGATAAATGAATAAATTTAAAAAGGGTCAAGTATTTTTATTAAAAAGTGCAGGTAATCTTATCTTCTCAGGTTTAATTTATTGATAACACTTGAGTACGTGAACGGTTGGTCAGAACGTTGGCTTCTCTTACCTTCCCCTTGCTTCTGAAATCCAAGACTAGGCGTGGGAAAAAGGTACATGTGGGAAAAATGTGGGGTCTGCATTGGCAGCAAACTTTGATGTCTAGTGGTCCTACCTGGTTCAATCAATGGACCCATGGGGCAGCGACATTGACACGCGTGTCCTTGATGGTGTGCTTACCAAACAGAAGATAAGATAAGATACAATAAGGTAAGATATGATACAATGCGATAAGGTAAGATATGATACAATGCGATAAGGTAAGATATGATACAATGCAATAAGGTAAGATATGATACAATGCGATAAGGTAAGATATGATACAAT